GCTGCGTCGCGGACGCAGCCAGCCGGCGGTGCTCGTCCTCGCGCTGGCTGTGGCTGGCGGGCGACTCCATATGGTCCACCGCAGCATCCAGCGCGACGGGTGTGAGGACGGCCATCGCGCGCACCGTCGTCATGACCACAGTGGGTGTAGTGCTACTAGCAGCAGCAGGTGAGATTGGCGTCGATGATGCGAGCGCAGGAGCGCTGCTGCTGCTGCTGTGGCTGGGCGTCGGAGTGGTTGGCGGCGATGGCTGTGGCGGGAGCTTGAACAACGTGGCGAGCGTCATGTCGGCGTGCTCACGGGGCAGCTCAACCATGGATGATGATGATGATGATGAGGATGAGGATGCGGATGCTGATGGGGTGGCAGAGACAATGCGGCCGGCGGCAATCAGCTTGACTGCGTACGCTGACGTTGCTGGCTGACTGTTTCGAGCGGCAGTGACAATGCTCTCGACCAGCCACTGCACCGACGCGCTCGACTTTGCAGCGATGGTCACAGACGACGGCAGTAGTGGTGCTTTTGGAGCAGCGTCGGATGTGGTGGTGGTGGTGGTGGTGGTTGACGAGGAGGATGTGGATGAGGCTGAGGATGACAGGCGAATCACCACAGTGAGGTCGTCGGGTGCTGCAGCGCGCTTGGCGAGCTTGTCCAGCGCATGCAGACGAAGCCCTTCGAGAATGTCGCAGATTGCATCGACAGAGTTAGAAGTAGAATGAGAAGGAGTAGTAGTGGTGGTGGTGGTGGTGGTGGTCTTAGAGGTGGGAGTGGCAACTGAGGCGGCGGTCTGAGCGGCAATCACCGTTGCGTAACGCGAGCCGAGCGCAGAGAGCGCAGCAGTCGCAGCGGAGGCGTCTGCAGAGGTGCCTGCAGTGTATGGTGCAAGCCACAGTTTGACGCCTTCCGTCCGCAGCAGACTGAGCACGGCGGGTTTGAGCGAGTCAGCCATGTTAAAAAATGAAGGAGAGGGAAAAAAAGTAGAACAAGAGACTGAGCCAAGTCCAAGTTTGGTTTGACACTTTTTGGAACTTGGTCGGTCATTACGAGATAGTCTTATGATGTACGATTGTGTTGATGAAGGATGATCACGAAATAATCGCCTTGAAAATTTGAGAAAGAAGCCTCGACAACTGTTTGAGCTTTTGAGCTGTTGCTGCCCTTTCGTTATTCCTTCCATTCTGCAATTTCAAAGCACTTTTCTTCGTTGTTCACTCGTTTTGAAACAAATCAACTCCAAACTCAGCTTTCTAAGCAAAATAAAAGTTTCAGTCTCTCTTTTTTTGTTTTTCGTATCCAAACAACAAAAAGGTTTGCATTTTCACATCTTTTTTTTTTTTTTTTTTTTTGTATGGCTTTCCATTGCAAGATGCGGTTTTTTTATTTTATTTTTTGAAAAGTTGAACAGCCATCCCTGGTATTTCTGCTGTCTGCCATTCGCGCTGGAGGAGACCTGTGTTTGGCATTGCGTGTGTCTGATGTGTGATGTGGTGATGTGGTGATGTGTGATGTGTGAAGGAGACGAGGGCTTTTCCCTCTCTTTGAATCTGTATTCTCACTCTCACTCGTTCTCTCGTTCTCTCTCTCCATTGTGAAAGTGCGTCCTCCTCCCCTGTATTTTTCGCACGAGTCTGCGCCATTCCCTCTCTTCCTCACACTCTCTCTCTCTCTCTCTCTCTCTCTCTCATTGTCCAAGTGTGGATGTGTTGGTGGTGTTTGGTGGTGCGAAGGTGATCCATCTTTCCGCTGCCAATCTGTCGCTCTTTTTTTTTTCTTTTTGCATTCAGCCCTCCCTCCCCTCCCCTCGCTCTCCTTGCTCACCCCATCAGCTCCTCTTTGCGCTCAACATGCATCCCCGGTTTTTCATTCACCGTGTGTTTCTGTTCTTCCCCCTCTTCTATGGCTTCCTTCCTTCCAACGTCGCTGTACTTTGTACTTCAATCTGTTGTGTTGGTTGTAATGGTCTTTTTTTTTTTTTTTTTTTTTTCTAAGCGAGAACCGTTTTATTTTTTTTATTTTTTTTTTTTTTGAAACCGCTTTTTTCGTTGCTTTTTCCTTTCCATCTCGTCTTCTGCGCTTTCGCTCTCACTGCATCGCGCAGTCCCCCTCCCCCTTTCATTCCCTCTCTAACTAGCTCTCTCTCTCTCTCTTTTTCTCTCTCTCTGTGCACACACTCGCTCTCGCCTGCGCGCTTTTTGATTTTTTCAATTTCAAACTGTACTCTTTTTTTTTTTTTTTTTTTTTTTGAATTTGTGGCTTTTTTTTTTTTTTTTTTTTTGTTGTTGTTGTTGTTGTTCACTTGTCACTCCTCTCAACTCGCTCTCACTCACTCTCTTCCTTTGATTCTTGCTTGTATTCGTTTTTGTTTGTATTTGATTGTTGTTTCCCGATTCTCAGGCGCATTTCTTTTTGGTCGTCAAGATTGGATATTTTTTTTTCAAAGTCCAGCCAAACCAAAGAGAACAGCTTTTTTTTTTTTTTTTTTTTTTTTTTTTTTTTTTTTTTTCCTTTGGATTCATTCCAGTTAGCTTTTTTTCCCCCTTCCTTTTGAACCAGCAGGCTCGCTGGATCGCCGCCGCGCGTGTGTTTTGTTTCCGACTGCTTCGGGGATGAGCTCGTCGTCAGTGTTTCAGCTTGACGGAGTGACGACGACGCACTCGACGGTCGGGTCGTCCGAAGAGTCTGCGGAATTGCTGCTGAACGATGACACTGCTGCTGATGCTGGTGGAGTGGTGTCAGACGGCGTCGCACATCTCCCACCACCACCATCATCATCATCACCATCATCTTCACCATCATCCTCGCCAACAAGAAGCGCCAAGGTAGCAGCAGCCACGGGCGCAGGCGAACACGCACATGCGAGCGCCGCTGATGCGACCACAACGCAACCGCAAGCACCTCACACCACCACCACCACCAACAATACCACCACCACCAATACCATTCCAAGGAGCGGCAGTCGAAGTGCTCTGACTAACGGCGGCTCGGGCAGCACGTCCATGTCGGACGTCACGCAAGGCGCCAAGCCAACAACCGAGCTGCAGCATCACCAGCTCCACGCAACCCAGCACAGCACACTGTCAGAGCTCGAACTGGCCGTCATTCGCTCGGGTCGCCGCGCGAGTGGTGGTGACTTGTTAAACTCGGCCGCCGCAGCCCAAGCACACGCCCAGCAGCAACACGGCAGCAGTGGCAGCGTCAATGATGCAGACGGTGCTGGTGCTGGTGCTGGTGCGTCGTCGCGATCGGGCTCGGGCTCGGACGTGCGAACAATTCCAGCCATCTCGACGGCAACCCGCCGCGCGCCAAACCGCAATGCATATATTGGACGACCAGCGTCGTTTCATGCTGGAAATCTATCGTCCATGTACGCTGGTGCCGTCGGGCGCGCAGCAGCAGCATCATCCTCTTCGGGCTCGGCCAATCCAAACAGCGCAGCAATGGCAAGTCGATTCGCTCCTCCACTACCTCAGCGCCAGTCGTCGCTGGGACACATTCCCGCAGTGGTATCCATGACCTCGGCAGCGCCTGCATCCCCGCCACAGCCGTACTATCCAGTGACGCGAAGTCCGTCCACATCGGCGGCAAGTCTGAGCTTTCTGGCACAGTATTCACCAGGAACATCACGCCGGGGTGCCACCAGCGCCTCCTCTCCGCAAAGTGGCAAATCCTCCGCCGAGACATCGCCCAGCACTGTTCGGAAAACCCCTCCAGCGACCTTGCCAAAACCGAAAAATCGGCCAAAATCCATGACGTTTGGAGACCCATCCCTCTTCCACCAATCCGCCGAGACACTTGCGAGCGGGTCTTCATCGTTAACAGCTTCGTCTACATCATTAGCAGACGACAAATCCATGGCTCAACAACCGCAGTTCAGCAGCAACGCAGCCCCAATTGATGTGTCTGAAGCAGCAGTAGCAGCAACAACAACAACAACAACAACAGACTCTCAGGAAGCTGCTCGTGTTGCTGCTGTTGCTGGTGATGACAATCCCATTTTGGTGGCAATGACCGCCGCGGCAGCCGCCCTTGCCGTTCTGACAGGTTCCGCCTCGACAACACCCGCAGTAGGAGCTGAAGTTGTACCAGAGCCCCAGTCGGATCTTTCCATCTCAGCCGACCAAGCGCATGCACCAAGTGAGGCTCCCGCCCAATCTTCGACTGTTGTGCTGCTGCCCGTGCAACCACCAGCATCCACATCGGAAGAAGCTGCACCCAGTCTGACCGTCGAGGCCAATCAGGAGCAGCCTAGTGAGCCCCTGACTGCCGCCCCCTCCGCCGCCACAAACTCGGAGCAGCACACTTCAACCGCGCAAGAGCAACCGCAAGAGCAACCGGCAGTCAGTAGTCCGACAACCGACGCTTCGGCCGCTCACGAAACTCCTATTGATTGTGAAGAAAAACCAGCAATCGACGAACAATCTCTCCCCGCCGTTTCTGCACCCCCTCAGTCATCCACCGACAATGCCGCTGATCCTGTTGATCAGTCAGCAACAACATCTGCACAGCTGGATGCCGTGACTGAGGCGGCAGTAGCTCCAGCAGCTGTGGAGGTGGTGGCTGCTCAGCCATCCGAAACTGCTACCGCCGAGGCTGTTGCTCCAGTTCCTGTTGAGGCTACGACGAGCAGCGTTGCTACTCCTCAGGTCCAGAGAAGTGCCACTCCGGAACCCGCAGCCGCCGCTACTACTGCTGCTGCTCCCGTGGCTGAGGCTAGTTCGACGAATGATCTGTCTACCTCGCCGTCAGAGCTCTCACGGCACGGTACTGGTCGCGCTGCCCTCACGTCGCGTGGTCGTCGCGCCGATTCGCTTTTGAACGAGGACGCCTCATCGCCAGGCAAGCGGAGATCTGGCCCTCCTCCCGGGATTGTCGAGAATAATTCCGAAACAATCACGCCAGACACGTCGGCACCGGCGGCTCCCACCTCTACATCTGCGGGTCCTGTAACCAGTGCCCCTGTAACTCCAGCGCCATCTACCACATCAGCGGCATCTTCGCTGGCCGCTCCTGCCGCCATTCGTTCCAACCTGAACGTCTCGTCCGAGTCCATGGACACGCGCTCGGTCCATTCTCTTCCTGATGAGCAGACCATCGCGGAGGGAGTGCGTGTTGCGCTCGAGGACGGAAAGACGGTCGTCGTTGCCGGGTCTCTTGCAGGGCTCGTCGGTCAACTTGCCAACGAGACTGGTTCCTTCGACACGGACTTTGTGCACAACTTTTTGTTGACCTACCGGTATTTTGCCACGCCCGAGGCGCTCATGGATGAGTTGCGTGCACGGTTTGAGTCGGCGGCCAAGCTCGACGCTGTGGGCTCCAAAGAAGTGCAGATGCGCGTCGTGAACGTGATTCGCAAGTGGTTGACAGCGCATTGGTACGATTTCGCCAACCGAATTGATCTCATCCAAAAGACCGTCGACTTTACCGAGTACATTACCAAGCAGTCCAACGTCAAGGTTCTCGGCCCAGTTGTGCGCAAGCAACTCGAGCAGATCCAAAAGCAGGCCTTGGCGCAAGGCGGCGTGGTCATGCGCAAGTCGGCCTCTGGTGTGAGTGTCGCCACCGGCCCAGACCCATCCATTCCGTTGAGCGACAAGGCGATCAAGCAGTTCAACTTTTGCGAGGTTTCGCCTGAGGAGTTTGTCGAGCAAATGACCCTGATCGAGCTCAACCTGTTCAAGCGGATTGGTGCGAACGCTCTGACGGGACAGTCGTGGACCAAGACAAACAAGCCAGAACGTGCGGCTCCGCTGATTCAGCTCATTGAGCGCTTCAATCGCGTGTCGTTCTGGATTGGCACCGAGATTGTCAACGAGACCAACCCAAAACAACGCGTGGAGGTTTTGCGGCGCGCCATTCAAATGGCCGTCCATTGCCGAGCGATCAACAACCTTAACTCGTGTCTGCAAATTGTCGCCGCCCTCAACATTAGCTCGGTGCAGCGCCTCAAGCTGACCTGGAAGGCCTTGCCCGCCAAATCGCTCAAGGACTGGCAAGATATCAGCTTCCTGATGGACACGAGCAAGGGCTACGCCAACTACCGCAAGCACCTCACGACCATCAAGCTGCCCATCGTGCCCTACATTGGCATTCATTTGAATGACCTGGTGTTGTTGGAAGAGGGCAACCCCGATTTCTTGCCTGACGGGCTGGTCAACTACCGCAAAATGAACATGGTCGTCAAGGTCATTCGCGAAATTGAAGTCTACCAAACGTCGTCCTTCCCCTTCCGGGAAAACCCCGACCTGCAGGCCTGGCTCCTTTCGGGCGCTCCAGCGCTTGATGACAATGCCCTGTACAAGCAGTCGTTGATCTGCGAGCCCCGCGTCTCGTCGGCCGTCCCAACCTCTGCTCCGTCGTCGCCCTCGCGCTCGCAAGAACGTCCGTCGTCCGAGTCCAACTCGGCCACTTCTTCAGCGTCCAGCTCGCCGCACACCGGCGGCAAGGATGAAGACAGCCACCTGGGCTTTGGTCGCGATGCCATCACGCGTCTCTCCAAGCGCTTTAGCGTCTACCGCAGCAAGACGAAAACCAAGAAAGACGGCAAAGAGAAGGATGGCAAAGAGGCCGAGGTTGCCGGCGCGGCAGGAGCCGTCGCAGGCGGCATCTCTCCCGACGTGGCCGATCGTCTCCGCAGCCGGCGTCAAACGAGCTCGCCAAACTTGTTTGGCTCTGTTCGGCGGTCCAGCCAGGGCTCCACTGGAAGCGTGTCGGACGACGACGACGAAGCCCCTGTCAATCCTCGACGAGACAAGCAACGGAGCGACAGCGCCGGTGCCGCAACTGGGTTTTTCGCAGGTCTCCCCAACGCAGCTGGCGGGTACAAGCAACGCTACCAAGAGTTGGCGCTTGCATACTCTGACTTGCTCAACAAGCACGCTGCGCTCGAGGCCAAGTACGATGCCCTCAAGGCGTCGACGAAAATGCTGCTCAACAAGAGCTCGGCGCTCGAGGCGCAGGTCCAGGAGAACAACAAGGAGAAGCAGTACTACAACCAACTCATGTCGCTGCACCACATGCTCCTGAACGGGCGCGACAACTCCCCGGGCAGCGTGTCCTCGGCGTCGTCCATGTCGAGCTTGAACGAGGACGCCATTCTCGCTGCCACCACCATGCTGCACAATGAGTCCCTCGCCGCTGCACAAGCCCAGCTGTCTGCCAGTCCGCTGTCCTTCTCGTTCGACTCGCCTGCGGCGGCGCCGTCCTCCAATCGCCTCTCGACCATCACGATTGAAACGACCGACAGCTTCGACCCGGCCATTGCCGAAGCCAACAGCGGGCGTAGTTTGAGTACCTCGTCCTCGTCGACGTCTGTCAACCGCCCGGTCCCAGCCGATCCCGCGGCGCGCACGACCGCCTCATCATCCATTCCTCCCCCGGCAGAGCTATTTGCAACTGCTCGCGATGACGCAGCCCTTCGCGAAGTTTCTGAAATGTGGAACAGCGCAACGCACCGTGTCAAGCGCGATTCAATGGTGTAAAACGGTGAGGAAGGAAAGGGGGTTTTTTTTTTAAATTTTTGTTGTTTTGGTCTTTGCTTTGTTTGTGTATGTTTTGTATTGTTTTGTTTTCAATTTATTTTGTATTCCTTATTCACAATGATGATTTTTGTCTCCTCTGAGCTCTCCTAAAACGAGCAATTGAAATTTGCAGTTCAGTCTTCCATCCGACTGCTTTAACTTTTCAACCATGGTTAAAGCGACGACAAAGAAAGGCGCTGTGGACAATGATGGTACACAAGCATGTGTTTTGTCTTGTTGTGTTTGGGGTGCGATGGTCTGGCATACGAAGGCACTGGTTGTTGAATCATTGGGTTTTGCATGGAACACTTTGGGGCCAACTCTGTCGACTCACTCACCCTTGCCATGCTGTGCCCAGAATCGGTCATTCTCGACTACTTGAACAAGCAAAACAGGCCGTACAGTGCGAGTAAGCCACCACTCCCCACCCCAGCAAGACCAGATTAAAGCACCATAGGGACTTGCAGCAGACTTGCAACATTGCGAAATTCGGCATCCTCAACACTGGCAAAAGGCCGGCTGCCGAAAAGCTCGCACAGACGTGGGATACCTCCAGTAATGCGATGCAAGTCTGCCATGATATTGTCGGAAATGCGGACAGGGGGATTACGAGAGAGCCAGGTTTGCTGAAGCACTTGTGTCTCAGCGTGGCTGAGCGGTCGAACCATCTGTTTGCAGGCGTGAGCCTCTGCATCGCGGAACACTCCTCGCGCAGCGTCCAATGGGTCGAACGATGAGCTCACGGCTGCCACGAACATTGACACGCCAAAACGAGCACCCATGAAGCCAAGCGATTGCAAAGGATGGTCTTGAGGCAAGCCTGCAACGACGACAGCTGGGTCGAACATGGCATTCCACTGGTCGAGAATAAAAAGCGAGCAGAAAGTGGTTGTTGCAGCACAGTAATCACAAACGGCGTTCCACGCAGCAAGCGCAACTCCATGAGCACGGATGGGAGCAATCGCAGGCCGAAGAAGAGCCAGCAGATCCGCGTACTGTGGCAGGTTCAACAACGGACGGTTGAGCATCTCAAGTATCCGGCACAAGCTAGCAGCGGCTGGGTCTGGCCTCAGGCGAGCAATACTGGCCGTTGATGCAACGTAGAGTACAAATAACGGGCGCTGCGGGCTCTCTGGAGGTTGGCGGAGCTGACGTGCAGTGTAGTCCAACGCCCGAACCAACAGAATGAACAGGACGGTGCTCTTACCAACGCCTCCAGAACCGGTGAGATAGGCGTTGGCCGGTGCGTTGACGGCAGTGGTAATGTTATCTAGTAAATGCAAAGCGAGGCTTCGCGGCACCAACTCTAGAGGATGTTCGACTGTAATCACGTTGGCGCGATCGGAAATCTCGGCTGGCAACTCCACTCCGCTAGTAGCATCCACGTCCTGGCGTGTGATGCGACACACATTGTCGACCCTGTCGCCCATCTGTTATGATCAGAGATCGTTCTACGAGGGTCCGAGTATTGGGTTGATGATAAGTGTAGTGAAAAACTTTCAGGCACACAAAGCGACGAGTGGCAAAATAGCCAAACAGATCAACAGATCAATGTGCCTCACGTCAGACGCCTCGAATCCCCACTTTTAAAAACGACTCGGATTCGAGTTGTTTCTCATGAATTTATGCTGTTCTCAATGGAAGCAGGGGTTAGAGCACTCCTAAAACGAGCAATTGAAATTTGCAGTTCAGTCTTCCATCCAACTGCTTTAACTTTTCAACCATGGTTAAAGCGACGACAAAGAAAGGCGCTGTTGACAATGATGGTACACAAGCATGTGTTGTGTTTTGTTGTGTTTGGGGTGCGATGGTCTGGCATACGAAAGCGCTGGTTGTTGAACCATTGAGTTTTGTATGGAACACTTTGGGGCCAATTCTGTCGACTCACTCACCCTTGCCATGCTGTGCCCAGAATCGGTCATTCTCGACTACTTGAACAAGCAAAACAGGCCGTACAGTGCGAGTAAGCCACCACTCCCCACCCCCAGCAAGACCAGATTTAAGCACCATGGGGACTTGCAGCAGACTTGCAACATTGCTCGTCGTTCCGCTTCTCAAACACCCAGAGGTCGTGTCCCCCTCCTCAGCTTATCGTGTGGTGGTCACTAGTAGCTTTATCGCTAGTGACCTGCTCGCTGTGGGCCGCGGTTGAGCGCGCAAAACAGAGACGCTCAACTTTGGAGGATTGGTTTTTGGCGGGAAAAACTTCATGTTTCACTTTTTTTTTTTTTTCCATTTCATGCAACTTTGCGTTCATTCTGTGCGTTCTCGTCCCAATCTCAACCCCCTGCCTTCGCCTTGTTTTTTGGTTTTTTTGATTTGACTCGTTGAAACGCAGTCGACATTTTCAACAACTTGCACGGCGCGGTTGGCAAAACGGCAGTCACGAAAGCGCTCGCGTCGCTCACAGCCGGAGAGAAGATTATCGAAAAGGAGTACGGCAAGCAGCATGTCTATTGCCCAAGACAGGTATGGCGACCCTGCGCTGGTTGTTGTGATTGCAGGATGGATGGTTTGTGTTTGGCTCATCCTTGCCTTTTCCGACTTTAGGACCAATTCGAAATCCCCGATGAAGCCGAACTCGACCAGCTCGACCAAACGATCGACGAGCTCAGGGATCAGTTGCGCGAAGAGAGTGCTGCGTGCAAAGCATTGGAAGGAGGTGGGGTTGAACAAGAGCCTTTCGGTAGTTGCACTTTTTCCTTCTCTTCTTCAAGTCTCACTATTTCGTTTCCCTCCCTGCAGACGTAAAGGTCTCTGGCGCATCGATGAAAACCGTCGATATCATTGCTCGGGTGGCAGCGCTGCGCACCAAGAATGCAGCCAACATGGAGCGCTTGGAAAAGCTCAAAACTGGCACCAAGCTGGTTTCTTCGGCTGAAATTGCTCGTGTACGTGGGACAAACATGCGGAATGCATGACCACCCGTTTGTTGGTGTGTACTTACCAGCACTCTCTACAGGTTAAGAAAAACTACACCACCGCTCACACGGCCTGGCGGAGTCGAAAGAAGATGGTAACTTTTTCGCTTCTGTTTTCGCTTCTCTAACTAACTCTGCAACGAAACTCACGTACCTGGTCTCGAATGCTAGTGCATGAATGTGATCGACCAGGTCATGGAATCCTACCCCAAACCCAAGGCCCATCTGATAGACTTGGTCAAGATGGAAACAGACGAGGAGGTCGGCGTGAATTTTGCCAGCATGCCTGCCCCGTAGTGCACATTCAGCCACTGCTGCAATGTCCAGCAAATGAAGCGACAGGCTTGTTTTTGTCGAGAACACAGTTGTTAATAATACACAGGCTACCAAAAATAAGTTCATCAAAAGACAAGCACAATCCGAAATTTCCTCAAAGTGAAAGCAATCCAGTTCCTGTTCCATACCACACAGAATGGTGAGCATCATGCACTCGATCATCGCCAAGGACAGAAATCACTGTCGTACCTTTGAATCCTGTCTCGATCTTGCCTCGAGCGGATGTATCAGCTGTGCAACAGACGCAGAAGAACAATGTCAGAAAAATCCAACAAAGAAAAAAAAACTTTCAAATGGAAAAACCGCAACCGCACCTTCTTCCGCGATAATCGCCTCGAGATCGGGCTGCGAATCCACTTGATCGATAGCAAGCTCGAGCACGCTGCTTGGGGCTACATGGAGCTGGGCAAGCGTGAGCGTGTCTCCGCGCAGCTCTCGCTCACCATCGAAAACGTGCTGATCGATCGGTGCTACTTGGAACTTTGTCATGATCTGCAAGTGCCAAAAAAACCAAAAAGGAAAGTTTGAACAGCGCTCAGACGACATATCAATCATGCAACTCACTTCTCCAGCCAGCCACTCACGACCACTGACCTCTAATTTGAGCTTTTTCAGCGTGTCGGTGCTTGAAACAAACACCTTGTGTTGTTTGCCGCGACGGCGCGAAGCCTTACGTGTGCCGAGAACAGAGAATCTACCCTGGGACGGCGTGGATGGCGACTCGCCTGCTGTGGACGGCGGGTTGTCGGGGCTGGCCGGTGCTGGTACGATGGCCGACGCGCTACCCCAGGGCATGACTGCGGGTTGGCGCGCGCGTTCAACAGCCTGATGGTGAACTTGAGACCACTCCGACTTGGCTAGGTGCACGACCGTGAATGGTGAGTCGACATAAATAAAACGCGCCTCTTCCTCTGTCTGCCGAAGCCGGCCAATACAAGACGTGCAGGTTGGAATGACGGATGCCCAGCAACGCGCAACGGGGTCGAATTGCAACATGACAGCGCGAGGCGTGGCTCCAGCAGAGGAGGAAGACGCTGCTGCCGTGATTGCTTCATCCGCGATGGCAACCCCGTCCTGAACATCACCGGAGGACAGACTGTGGTTGTTGGGAGTACTGGAAACGGCTGCTGATTCGCGTGGTTTCGAGTACCATTTCACCAGCAAGTCCCACTCGCGTGGCCAGACAAGGGTGTATCGAGCAGGAGAGGGCATTTCAGCACCCAGCATCGGGTCGATGGCGTCCAATGGCGCAATCACCAGCTCAGAGTGGTGGCAAAACAAGCTGTCGTTGGTCAACACGCCTGGAAGAACTGCGCCTTTGGGTTTGCGTAGCACAGCCCTCCACTGGTCCAAAAAGACCGACTCCACCGCGAAAACATTGACCGCGAAGGCAGCCAGAACTGGATTGCGTCCAGCATGGCCGTTTTCTGGCTCGGCGGCATGACTCGCAACTGCTGGCCGGGAGCGAGCATCTGCGCTGTCGTCCACAAGGTCAATGTCTTCGTCGTCGTGAGCAGCAAACACTGCGTCTGCTGCCAACTGCCGCTGGACGACATCTGGAACTCGCGCCGGCTCGCTCGCGTGCAAGACTGGCCGATGCGTGTTCTTGTACAAGGCGCTGAGCAATGACCGCTGCTGCGCCAAATCGGCGTGGACCTGGGACGCCGCCAAGTGATTGGCAGAGTGCGAAGCAAGGCAAAGGCTGCAGTCGGGCGTCGTCGCTGGAATGGGCTGGACAGTGCTGCTGTCGGGCCAATGGATGGGAAGGAGATGCCAAACACCCAAGGGCACAGCCGTTCGAGGCGCGATGGATTCCGGCACCAGATTGCCGTGCCGGCAGATCAACTCGCCGTTGAAAAGAGTCGAGCTCGACTTGGCAGCTGGCTTGTTGGTAGACGAGCTTGGTGGCAGCTCACCCAGGTCGATTGTAGCAACGGCAGCAGCAGCATTTGCGTCAGCTGAACGGAGGGCGTTCGGCAAGATGGAGACGTCTGGAGCCTGTTGGAAGACGACCTCGTCATCGTCGCCAGCATCACCCCCGTGAGTGCCGTTGGTGTGCTCGAGCTTCATCAATGGTTGCTGCGACGACGGCGACGACGACGACGACGACGACGACGACGACGACGACGACGACGACGACGACGACGACGACGACGGCTCGCCATCTATTTCCATGGCCGTGGCAGACGAGGGAGCCGGGTTGTCCAGCATCACCAGCTTTGCTGCAGTCGCGTTGAGGGCTGTCAGGGCAGACTGATCGCGCTCTTTTTGGCGCTCCATATCCTGCTCGGCGATAATCTGACGAGCTTCCAGTTGACGCGCCTGTTGCAAGTCTTCCAGACGACTTTGCTCCGATCGCGCTTGCTCGGATTGTGCGGAGGTCTTGAGACGGAGCCAATCTCGCATGCTCTGACGGCCAACCCATGCGCAGTCCTTCAAAGAAGCCGGGCTCGGAGCGCCTGCAGCTGCCTCCACGATCTGCTTGACATGCAGCTGATCGGCCGTCAGCTGATTCGCCGTAGAGCGCACGTGCCACTCACGGACGACGCATTCCCGGCACAAGGCCTCTGGTGCTGTGAGTCGCGGTCCTCCGCCGTAGCGCTTGTACAAGGCTTCGGCCGTGTCCGAGCGGATGAACTTGAAATGGGCAATCGCCAGCGGATCCACCTTGTCGTGGTCGCAGAGAATCGCCGAGTTGTTCACTGCGGGGACTGCATCGCGATCGACGCGTGTTAGCCAGTTTCGAAGCCAATCCATCGAGATAATGTCAAACGCGCCGCCATCGTCGGCAGTATTCTGTTGCAGCAGCGGTGGCTGCGGGGCACTTTCCGAAATGGTCGTGACATCGTTGCCATCATCGACTTCGACCTCAACATTGACGTCCTGCAGCAGCTGCTGCAGCGCATGCGCACTCGGATGACGAACTGGTCGCGCGAGCGCGTTAAACCATCGGCGAGAGGCCAGCTTGCTCTCCAAAACGGTGCGCAGCATCTGCTGCTTGCGCTGATTGTAGGCGATGACGTGTCGGCCCAGTTCTTCGTTCATTTGACGGATGGCATGCATGGCCGCCTGGTAAGCGGACGAGGGTGAGCGGTTGGTGCTCGAGTCTGCTGGCTGGTCGACCGACGCGACGTCGTCCATGTCCACGTCCATGGGTTGGCTAACCGACTGCGGTTGGTCAACGGCGCCCGCGAGCTCCTTGTCTGATCCTTCGCGGACGTAGACAAGCATGTATGCCTTGCCTGAGCGATGGTGGTGAGGAGGAACTTGGTCGGCGGTCGCATCACGGCGAGGGCGTTTGCCTGGACGAGCCGCTTCGTCGTCTTCGCTGGCAATGACCTCGGCCAGCACCAGTGCTGCTGTTGCTGTTGCTGCTGCTGCTGCTGTTGAAGATGGTGTTGATGCTGACGGTAGTGGAAACTCACTCGAGTCACTATTGGATGCTTCTGTGGGTTTATGTGTTGGCGGCACTCCGTCCAGACTCGAAATATCAATCAATTCGATGCCCTGCGGCTCGGTACTGGCCACATCCACAACCATCGCACTGGCCTTGGGGTCGCGCGCTTGTTGGCTTGAAATTTCAATCACGGCATCTTCCTCTTCGGCTTGGGCGCGAGTCCGCTTGCCTCGTGTCGCGCTCTGAGACGCTTTGGCGGGCCTGCCCTTCCGCCCAGGTGCCTTGCGGACAGACTTTGTTGCCTCCTTGCTCGCATACTCTTCATCGCTGGAGTGGTCTGACGTCACCCCGCTCAATTCCACATCATCGGAACCGGCTTGCAGGAGCTGAGCAACGATGAGGTCGGAGTCATCGCCATCGTCTGCGAGAAAGTCGGACGAGCGATGACTTGGCGGGTTGTTCGACTTGGTGGGTCGCTTGCGCGCACCACGGCCAGCAGCTGTTGTGCTGCCCGTGTTCCTTTTGCTTTTACTTTTGCTTTTACGGCCCGTTGAGTTTGCCTTCGACGTGCTCTCGACGCTTGTGTCGCTGCCGTTCTCAAGCTCGCTCGCTGCAGCATTGGCGGCCGCAGCAGCAGTGTAGGAGGTGTAGCCTCGCTCGTGATCCATTTTGGTGCGAGCAGTCTCGTCGTCCATGACAGTGACGTGCTCGTCATCAAACGTCCACCACACGTCAGCCGAATTGGAAGTCGGAGACTGCGACAGGCCTCCAAGAGCTTCGCTACCATTGGAACTGCTAGAACCACCAGCGCCACTGGACACAGGGCGATGTGTGCCATTTTGGCCGAGGAGTTGGCTGCTGCAGCTGCTGCTGCTGCTTGCGTCCGCGCCCAGCGTTGCCGCCGACTCGGTGGCTGGCGCTCGAACATGAGCGAAATAGTGACCGGCGTTGGCGGAATTGCCTCGGTGAAGCAGCACGGCCTTGAGCTTGTACTTGATTGTGGTTGTGGGCGCAGAGGCAACAAAGCGGTCTGGGGTCAGAACGAGCTCGTCCGGGAAGGTGATTGGGTTGACCAGTTTCTTCTTGTTGTGTGCTACAGGATCGTAAATGTATCGTAGCAGGTGGATGTTGAGGACTGGCGGCATCTCGCGCAGGCGCATAAACCGCACGGCGTCTTGCTTTGCATTGCAGCTTCCGCAAAAGTACTTGTTGGATCCGTTGAGTTGCTCTTTCTGCAGGAAGGGGAGAAGTGGTTATGCAGGCAACACAAAACCGGCAAGCACAAAAGTCGATCGTCAGTCAAAACCAGACACAGTCAAATCCCAAGAAAAAAAACGAGGCCAAAAACGAGGCCAAAACAATAACAAAAACAAGAAGTGCAGTGCGTACCGCAAGCATGGAGTTTAGACAATCATCCAACGTTCGATGGCCTTGGACGGGCACCTCGAGCTCAAAGAACGGAGAGTCTCGCACAGACTCGGTCTTGCACTGGAGACATTGCGTCACATACACGTACATGCCACGAAATTGGCTTTGGACAATGTGGCGGACGGTGGCATCAGGCTGGTCGTTCACCTCGCGCTCGAGAAGCGTCAGAAACAGCTTGTTGAACTCTTGCGCGTCCTGTTGCTCATTCTTCTTGAGGCCAAGCGTCTCAATCAAGGCCAGGGGATCGACGAAAGACGTCCTGCTGTGGAGCAGGCGCATGAAGAGCGCTTGCAATTGAAAGCAGGCGCTCTTGTCGGGCTGCAAGTGCCGTAGCCGTTTGGATTGGCTTGGATTGTAGGCCAAAATGGCTCTTCGAAAGCTTTGGTTGTGGAACAAGACCTGCAAAAAGCAGTTGGCATAACAGGTTGCGCCGTGGTTGCGCAGACCAGCGTATTCTCCAGCCGGTCGAAGGGAGAGTTGCGGATCTGGCCCGAGAATGGACAGGATCTTGGACTGGGGAGAAAGTGTCAGGTTGAGTTGTTTGCAAGGGAGATTCAGGGATTGGGACAAGGGGTTTGAAATGGAAAGGGGTGAGTGAGTTTCGGTCGAGTTTGGACAATATCATCCCCAAAAATCCCAAAATCCCAAAATCCCAAAACATCGGCTCCAGTACATACCTCTACTTGTCGAACATCGTCGTCAGTGATTTCAGGCACGTCGGGAAAGAGTTCAGTGGCAGACACGGACTGGCCTGCTTGGTCTGATGAGGTCACGCCGGACGCAGCAGCAGCAGCAGCAGCAGCTCGTGCCGTCGCAGCAGGTGCGATGACGGCCGTTGCAGGGATGGCGTCCTTCGATGACGCCTCGCTCGTGTTGGATTGCGAACGAGCTGAGGATTGCTTGGCAGACGCGCTCCTGGACGCACTTCGTCGTCCTTTTGGCTTGCAATCGAGCGATGCCTCGCCATCCAACGGTCCCTCGGCCGTTGCATCATTGACCAGCATTGCCTCGCTTGGCACCGTGGCAGCCAAACTCGTACTAGCAGCGCTTGGCATTTCGTTGCTGGATGCCTTGAGCTGCTGCTGCTGCTGCTGCTGCTGCTGCTTGGACTGGGATTGCTGACGGCGCTCGGCAGCGCGCGCGCCAACCGCCGTCTCTGCAGACCATCGCAGGCCCGTCTCGCCCAGATGGCCCACGCAGTTGGGATTGCTCGTGCAATTCTTGCGGTGTCCAGCCAGGCTCGCAACCGGGTTTGCCCCAGCGTCCGACGCAGCCAATGCAGCCGTCGAGGTCTCAGCGCCAGAACCAGCGCCGTCCGGACTTGATGCTGAAGCCACGTCAAACCGCTGCACGGGGCAGACTGGGTGGTCTACGCGAAACGCGCAGTTGATGTGTGCCTGTGTAATGTCCTGCGCACGGGACACCTGGCCAACCCATGCCCAAGCAGCGCGCTCAGTTTCTCTGGCTGTTGGCGCCATTTTTTGACGGACCCGTGTGTCTTGGCTACCCCTGCTCTCTTATTACTTGGCTTTGTGTTCTTTTGTGATGCTGTTACGATGGTCTGGCAACAAAGATCTTGCTGGAGCTTTTCTGAGGTCTTTTGGTGGGAAGGGGGGATGCTGGTTGGTTTGGTGGCGGTTCTGCCCAGCAAAGAACAGAAACAAGACTGCGACTGCAACGGTGCAATCATGCGCATCAGCAATGCTGTTGTGAATGAAACACAAACCCCAGCTGTGAGTTGATCTCGACAGCAAAACGCTTGCCGAGTTGGAAAGACGCGGGGGAACAATCCTGCTCCCTCTTGCACACCCAAACTCACTAAACTCACTGCAACTTTAAACACACGCAATTAGGATGAATCAAATTAAAATGTAGTGTTGGCTGAAAACAATGGGAATAAAGAGAGGGCATTTTCAAAACAATTTCAATTCCAGCAACACTCGGCATCTCGAGGGGATCGACACGCCGATTAGAGTTGAAGGGACCGAGGGGCGTAGTGCTTATTCGCCGCCAGCGCCACCCTCGAAGCCGAGGAGCTTCTGGAACTCGTCGTAGAGGACGAGGACGATGGCACCACCAGAGCCACGGATGGCGTTGGTGAGGGCACCCTTGAAGAAGGCGCCGGGGCCCTCCTTGGTGGCAATCTTCTTCCAGCAGTCGAAAGTCGAGGTGTACAGAATGTCCTTGCGGCCAGCTTGCATCATCATGCGGCGACGGACAGTGTCGAAGGGGTACGAGACAACGCCGGCAACAGTGGTGACACCCTGGGCGATGAGCCAGGTTTGCCAGATGGGGGCCTTCTTGGGATCCTTGAGGAGAACGGTCTTGGCAGTGTCGAAGCCGCCGAAGAAGGCAGCGCGGTAAACGATGATGCCTCCGACGGAGACACCGAAGCCACGGTACAGACCCTTGAGGCCGTCCTGTTTGGTTTGGGAGAGACAAAAGAAAAAAACAAAGAGTTGTAAGTTGGTTTGTTCATCAAATTTCAGACAAAAGAAAAGAAAAGGCGAAACAAAAGGATCAAACGTCAAAAGTGCGAGAGCGAGATGGGGGAAAACAAGGAAAAACAAGGAAAAAAACCAGGAGCGTGATTTGATTCCCGCGTGGTCCGCGTGGTCGAGATTGGCCGAAAATGATTTGTTTTTTTCAATTTGAGTCTGATTTGTAGCAAGTTGCCTTGCGCGAATCGGGCTCCAACCGAGGCAGAAAAGCCAAGTCACTGGATTCACTGTCCAAGCGCAGAATCCAGCAAACAGCTCGTCCTCACAGCTCAAGCAGTTCGGCAAAAAAACAAAAGCAAAGAGCTGCCGTTCTTTTTTTCGTTTTTTTTTTTTTTTGAAAAATTCAAAAGATCGCCTTTTTTTCCTTTTTTTCTTCTGTCTTGGCAGTAGCGCGCGCCTCATCCACACTGATCTCGAGATCAAGCGATGGACCAAACACATGCCCACTCCAATCGAACCAACAGCAGCTCGAAGGATGGCGCAGTGCCCGAGCTGCGATGGTCGAAACGAAGCGAAGGAACACAAAAAAAAAAAAAAAAAGCGATCGCAAAAAAAAAAAAGGAAAAACCCATGTGCTCTTCTCTGGCTGGTCGCTGCTTCGCTCGTACGCGAGGCAGGGCCGTACCAGAGACGCAAACGCATAGTGAAAAGAGGAATCACCCAGAAACACCAAGAGGAAACGCCCGAAAGACAAAGGAAGGCGCGTTCAAAAAGAAAAAGGAAAAAAAAAAGGCAATTTGCAAAAAAAAAAAAAAAAAAAAAATTAACAAACCTGCTTGTAAATGGTGGAGATGCAGTTGCCGAGGCCAGTGAACTGACGAGCGCCGCCGGTGCCGACGTCAGCAGCAAGACGGGTACGGGCAAAGTCGAGGGGGTAGACGAAGAGGAGGGAGGTGGCACCAGCAGCACCGCCAGAGGCGAGGTTGCCGACGAAGAACTTCCAGAAGTCAGTCTTGGGGTTGTGGCGCACAAAGATTTGCTTGTACTTGTCCTTGAAGGCAAAGTTAAGAGCCTGGGTAGGGAAGTAGCGGATGATGTTGGCAGCGTTGCCGCGCCAGAGGGAGGCGAAGCCCTGCTCGCGGGGAATGCGGACGAAGGCGTCGACCATGCCCTTGTACTTCTTGTCGGCAGCGATCTGGGTGGAAGCATCCTGGACCTGGAGGAGGAGCTTGACACGCTCGATCGGGGCGACGACGGTCTTGGAGATACCACCGGCAACACCGCCAGCAGCGAGGTCGAAAAGGAAGGCCTTAGCCTGAGCCATAGTCTTGTCGTCGATCGACATGATTAAATGTGTTTTGAAAGAAAGACTGAAGTTTTCGCTGGATTGATTTGGGCAACAAAAAAATGAAAAAATAAAATAAAATGAAATAAAATCAAAACACGTGGAACCCCACGCTGACCACAAGAAGCCCACGAGTCGCCCCTTGGTTCGGAGGGGGGGTGCGGTTGCTTGCTGGTGGTGGTAGTGGTGGCTGGTGTCATCGAGCTGGTTTTGCAGCACTGCAAGGGTGGAGTCCAAGCGGGAGCACAGGCGCGACGCAGTGCCGAGACTGAAAAACAACCAGCAGTTTCAAAAAATCAAGCTTTTTTTTTTTTGCTTTTTTTTTTCTTGTTTCCAATTGAATGGACGGCGAATTGACTTCGTGGTAATGCGCGGTCCATATCGCAAAAATCAGCAACCACCACACACACGCATTGTGGCTACAACACACAACGAGATCCAGCACAATGCAGTGCAATGCAGTGGCTTGTGAATGAGAATTTGAGACGCGTTCCTGTTGTGAGATTACAATCTGATCACACAACGATCGGTCACTCGCAGTTGCAAATTTGATTGGTCGTTGGGACGTCTGAGACGCTCTGCCCAACCGCCTAGCCGGCGTGAGATGATCGCGTGCCCAAACCCCGCCACCCCACAGCTCGCCAAGTGGCCAAGTGGCGGTTTTGAGGCAAAAGACGGCGAGTTGTGGGAAAAAGTTTTCGGATTTCAAAGCCGGAGCAAACAAGCTCGCGATCGCACGTATGCCAGCCCTTCCCATCCATAATTCGTTATCCAGTGTGTGTCAAATATAATTGTGGATCTATTGTGCATCTCTAGGCGGCGTGGATTGTCGATGGCACTGTCACAGCGCGACAACCAACAATTCGATTTCAGTGTTCGAGTGTACAGCGCAGCGGCGTTGCTCAATTGCGCTTAAACTTTCTCAGAAAATTAGCCCTTTGTAGTGTTGTAGGTTGCAAGTTGCTGGACGAGATCGGACGAGTTGTGTACAATCCACGGTTGACAACTTCCAATGAAACCCTTTGTTTGGCCATCCACCTTGAGCATGTATGGTACCCGCTGAATTTTTTTTCAAAACGCCTGATTTCTCGACGTGCAGCACCACTTCATCAAACGCCACTCTTCACAAACACCCAGTATTGATGAGTGGCGTCCATCCGCGCCTCACTCGCTCACAAAGAAACGTCAAACCAATTCATTTGTTCAGTTTTCAATCACTTTTACCACTACTGCGACCACAGCAGAAACATGCACTTGGAACCAAACACGTAAAATTTGACAACACCATACAGGTAAACATCAGGAACAAAAAAAAACAATCAGCGAGCGACTAAAAACATACTGGGGTTGGCAACACTTCACAAAAGACGCAGAGAGGCACAACCGCCTCCCCAAACACGTCATTGTAATAAAAAAAGAAAGCAATTAGACAGAGGCAGTTTCGAGTCAAGCAAACAAACGAGCGACTGGCCACCGAGGACCAGTGCTTGGGCATATCGGCAAAAACGCAAATCCAGCAATTAATTATTTCCAAGGAGCCGCCCACAGCACGATAGCACCGATGAGAATGAGCACGACTACGACCAAGATGATCATGAACTGTTTGGGGGCAGCAGCAAGAAGAGAGAAAAAGCGAGGACAAAGCCAGCGACAGACGACAGAAAAAGTCAACATCTTGCAACAAACACCAGAACAACAAGGCCTTGAGCAACCCACCTTAATGTTCTTGTACCACATCTTCCTCTTCAACTTGCGAGAAGTGGTCTGAAATCGCTCGGCGCCATCACGAAGAGCCTCAGACTTGTCCTGGATGTCGGTGAGCTTGGCATCGCGCTCCAACACCTAGCACGAGGAGTCAAGCGAAAAAGCAAGGTAAGTTTGCAGAAGGAAGCGACAGACACCAACGCTCAGAGGAACAGGTGCCGCAGTACGCAGTACGAGCACACCGGCAATTCCAAAAAAAAAGAGAAAAAAAAACCGCCCTTTTTACCTTTTCGACGTTGTTCTTCATGATGCCGACAACCTCATCGACTTGGTCTTGAGTTTGTCGGAGGCGATCGTTTGATCCAGCGCTGGTGCTGGGACCACCGCCTGCTGCTCGGCTGGAAATGGGCGAAAACGAGGAATAAGTAAGTCACTGTGAATTGCGGCATCACATTGCGCGCGCGCGATATCAACACAGGTCTGACAGGGAATCCTCTCCCCTGCTCCGACGTGCATAAGCCCGAGTGCGAGAAGCAAGTAACAACCAGCGAGGAAGCTAAGCACAAAATGCGAAGTCCAAACCTTAGCTTTCGCGGTGCAATGACACCCCCACACTCCAACTTGCGGCACAAAGCTCAAGCAGCACATTCAATCGCCGTGACAAAACCCCCCAAGAGATGTGTCGGAACGAGTGAGCAAAGACAAGGCGGTCAAAAAGCGATTTTTTTTGTTTTTTGAAGCCGTTGAAAGTGTCAATCCTACTCGAACCTGAGGTTGGTCATCGCTTTTGACGCTTGGGCTCGCACTGCCGCACTCCCAATTCAGCGACACCACTCAGAACAAGATGTCCCCAATCGGCCCGCACCAATGGGCACCTTGCGCTTGGTCGCCCACTCTCGCTTCGTGCGGCTCCAGCAGCGACCGGTCGCTCGATGCTGGAAAAACAGGGTTTTTTGTCTTTTTTTTTTTTTTAAAAAGAAAAAAAAAAAACGAGGCAGGTTGTTTTTTGAAGAGAGCTGCTTGTTGGGCGTAGCAACACCAGCGCGGGTGAAGGGAGACTCGCATAACCCAATTCCACATCGCTCTTCATGACCGTGGGGACTGCTCCACCACGACAGGACGAGTCAGCCGCGTTCAAGCGAATTTTCAAAAAAAAAAAAAGAAAAAAAAGAAAAAAAAAATAGAGTCATTGATCTTTGACTGCTGCTGTTCCAGCGCGACACGACGGGCCCATCCAACCCAAGGATCGCGATGCCGACGATGCTGGTGCGGACCCAGCGGGGGGAGAGACACAGAAGCGGGATCCGAGCGCGCGCAGAGAGAGCCACAAAGGCGTTCCTTTTTTTTTTTTTTTTTTTTTTTTTTTTTTTTTTTTTACCTTGGGTAGGACCTGTTCGAACAAAAGAAAAAAAAAAAAAAAAAACCGAAGAACGCCAGCCAGACAAGGTCAGTTCAGCAGACTACATTCACCACAACAACTCAACGACAAGCGAGACAAAAAGGTCTACATGAAGAAGAGAGGTTAAAAAGCGAGATAGGATGAAGGAAGGGAAAAAGGGAGAGGGGGGAACAAAAAAACCGGCGAAACGACGGTGACGCGAGCGGAAGAAACGCCAAAACAGCGTCAGCGTGAAACAATGAAAAACGAAAAAATTCGCTCTTCTTCCACTTCTTACATTTGTAATTGGTGGGTGAACTTTTGGAAAAAAAAGGGGGAATGAGTGAAGAATGTTTTCAGTGATGAAGGATTGGAAACACTGAACTGACACAGAGGGAGAGAGAGCGAGAAGAGAGAAGAGAGAAGAGGAAGCGAAAAAGTATAAATCAATAGAATTGAAAGTGCGATTTGACAGAGCATCAACAGTCGGTGAAATCTGAGCGAAAGACGAATCAGAGTTGAAAGGGGAAAAGTTCTCAATGCTGAACGGAGGCGGGCGAGAGCGACGCAAATGGATGGCGATGAGTCGGTCGATCGTCAATCGCAAAGAAATTCCAGAGTAACCATTCATTCATTGGAAAAAAACACAACCCCGCTGCCGGGATGCTCTGTTTACTTTCAACAACAAATCACAATCAAGACAAAAACAAAGCAAAACAAATCAAAATCCTACTCTGCAGGAAGGGGGGGGGGAAAAAAGAAATCATCACTCGAAACGCTCGACGTCGGCGGTCGGATCCGGCCAGGCGCAGTTCGAGCCGCAAGGAGGGTAGGGCAGCGTTTGCGGGAGAATGGAGACACCCGACGTCACCTTGAAGGGGTCGACGAGGGCAATGAGCGAAATGTTGTACTCGGCCTCAATGAAGAAGCCAGTGTAGCCGACTTGGGGCGCAACTTGCTGTCAATGTGAAAGCAAAAAGCAGACGAGTAATCATCGTGAGACATGGGGGGTTTCAACAACAGATCGCCAAAAGCTCGCAAACTCTTTTTCGTCTGTGACCTACCTGAGCAATGTACACGCCGTTGCCTTGGTCGACAAGCTCTTGGGAGAGCCAGAGACGGACATCAATGCACTTGGGGTCCTTGAAGTTGGCGCACTTGATGATGCGGAAGTCGCGAGCTGGGCCGGGGTGGTGGTTGTGGTACATGACGACCTTGGTGGGCAAGACCTGGGGGCTGAGGTGGCGATAGGTAATGGTGGTGCCGTCGGCGGAAATCTCCCAATCGGCCTGGGGGCGGGGGTGGTTGTAAATCATGGTTTCCACAAATGAGAGGACCTGGTCAGCAACCTCCAGCTGGTGGCCCGTGAGCGAGTGCTCGGCGTTGGGCACAACACGGAAGAGCTTTTCGCCCTTGAGGCCGCTCCACATGTAGTCGATGCTATCGGGCAGGAAGAACTGAGATGGGTGTAGAAAAGGTGGAAAAGGTGGAGAAAACAAAACAAAAAAAAAAAAAAAAAACCCCACACCAGCATCAAACACTCGTATAAGCACACACCAACCAACACTACCTGCATCCACTGATATCCTAAAAACCAAAACAACAACAACAACACTCACCTCGTCACCAGTGTCGCAGACAATCAGCTTGGGCATGACAAGGCGGTCGGCATAGTTGAGGGGATCGAGAGCAGCGAGGAGATCGACAAAGCTCTGGGTGTTGAGGTAGTGGATGCATCCAGCGTTCATGTAGTCGTCAAGGGCAAAGGAAAAGTTGCCGTAGGCCTGGAACATGGTGTTCATCTGGGGAACGAGGTTGCCGAAGGGGGAGACGATCGGGACAATCCCAACGACGCGCTTGTCGACGGCGCCGGTGAGCCAGGTGGTCCATCCGCGCTTGGAGGCGCCAGCAACAATGAACTGGGTCGGAGCAATCGCCTTGCCGCCGAGCGAGCCGACAAACGAGGTCATCGTGTCGAGGGCGCGCACAGACGCCTTGGTCATGGGCAGGTGGGCGAGCCAGAACGAGTCGTTCTTGTTGAAGATAAAGTGCTCCCAGGTGAAGGCAATGATGGCATCCTCCGAGCGCGAGGCCTGGGTCGGGTCTGAGGTGAAGACAATCGGCTCGTTGGGGATGGAGGTCAGGTGGGCCGCGACAACGCGCGATGTTCCGCAAATGATCGACACCAGAGCATCTGGGTCGGGGGCGTTGCCGTTCTCGTTGGCCGAGCCGCCACCATCAATGTACAGCAGACCCAGAGTCGTGTGCACGGGGTAGTCCGGCACGCAAACTTGGAGCCAGTGGGTCCAAACGGGCTTGTTGGTGTCGTTGGCCGTGAGCCACGTCTGCGAGGTCATGAAAATGTTGTATGTGACATAGTCGGGGCCCTTGACTTGGTTGACCAGCTTGTACGCGTACGTCGAGTCGGGCTTGTTGACATAGTCGTCAAGCGGAGTGGCGGCCGCAACAGCGACAATGGCAGCCAGCGCCACCGTCACTGCGAGTGCAGTCACGCGCGAAACCATCGTGAAAAAAAAAATCTGATGCAAAACAAAAACGAGTTGAGGATGAGAACAAAGGAGAAGGTGAGTTGATCACGACGAACGACAAAGATCAGCCACAAAAAAAAAAAAAAAAAAAAAAAAAAAAAATCAAAAAAGATCTGCGCAAGCCATAAAAACACAATGAAAATTCAAGTCAAAAAAAAAAAAAAAAAAAAACCACCCGCATGTGTTTGAGTGGAGCAGCGACGAGTTGGACGACGCGTCACACAGCGCAGAGTGAAGCACTGGCTGAGTGAGGTGCCAGTGGCCAAGCAGCACGAGGTGCACGGCGTCGAAGCGAGGCACAGTGGGGACAGTGGCAGATCACGAGGCGAACAGCGAGAGAAAAGAAAAACAAAGCGAGAACAGTTGGAGCGTTGAGTCGGTCGATGAGCACATCCGTGCGCGTGAGACTGTGCAATGGATACAAGTGCAAGAGATGATGCGAGTTGGGTTGCATTGGGCAGTGGGACGCGGCAGCAGCAGCGCTCAGAGAAGACAAGACAAGTGAATGGGCAAAAGATTCCAAAAAAAAAAAAAAAAAGAGCGGCAGGACGAAAATGTTGCGCACTGCGAGTTTCGCGCAGCCCACTACTGTGTGTTGCTTGTCACTGGTCCAGCCAGCCATCCGAGTGTTGAAGAATCACAGCACAACAAGCAAAACAGAGACAACGAAAACAGCGCACGCATTTGACAGGACAAACGACGAAAGACGAAAAAGTCGAAGGAAAATAGAACGAAACTCACAAAAACAAACAGAAGAGTGGATCATTTATTTTTTAAATTTTAAGATATTTTTCGTTTTTAATGGAAATTCTGATTCAAATTTGATTGATTTGTTCAAGTTGCTAATTGCAAAACGGACGCAATCATTTCGTAAAAGCGCAAGTTTACATTGGAAGTGGGTTGGATGCCAATGCTGATCAAAAGACGCGAAGGGTGAACTTTGAAAGAGCGTTTTGTTTTTCAGCCACAGAAATCTACAACCAAATGCAACACCATCGCTCCACAAATCAAAACACGAGAGCACTTTTCAATCATAGCATTCAGAACCCAAACACTGAAAAGCAACAGCAAAGCACAACAACGCTCGAAAGCACATTTTTGCACGACACACAAACAAGAATTGGCAATTTCGCAAAAACAACAAGACAAAGCTTTTGATTGGTTTTTACTGTGCACGCGAAATGCTCTGCTGCTGCTGCTGCTGCTGCTGGTCAGCTTGGATGGTGGCGCGACCAGGTTCGGCAAAGATGGACGGCCGCTGGTCAATGGTGACCCGCTTTTGCGGAATGTGCTCGAGTCGCTCGAGCATCTTTTCTACAGGAAGAGGTCCACGATTGAAGGGCTGAGCACCGTGGTTATCCACCTTTGAAGCGCGAAACATTTCAAACGGCACGGAGGCCGCAGCCTTGCCCGAGATGAGCTTGGTGGCAAAGACCGCGGCAACGTTGCCGTCCTGCGAGGCCTTCTCGCGGAGCTTGCGACTGATGCTGAACATGGCGCGGTTGAGCACACCGCAAAACTCGCCAATCATTTCCGTGCTGCGCTCAATCACGCTGCGTTCGATGGCGTGGCGGATGCGGCGGCGCACGCCACGGCTGCCGAGCATGCGCGGATGGTTGACATCCGTGCCAAAGGCCAGAGTCAGGTCCGAGATCACAAAGTCCACCGTCACGCCCGTGAACAGCGCAGGCAAGCCGGGGGTCTTGAGGGTGCGCAGCCACAGGGTCAGGCGACCGCCCTCGCCGCCAATGGCAACATCCACCGTGCCACTGTCGCTCCTGCGCGGCCAGTTCTTCTTCTCGATGGCAAAGCACACGTTGCGCAGCTTGGCATAGAGGCCGACAATGTCCACCTTGATGATGGTCTCGTTGGGAGCCGTCGACAGCGAGTACAGGCTCAAGTCCGTGTCCGAGAGCGTCTGGATGTGAATGTGCTCGGGCAGAATGTCGCGCGCCGACATGGTGAGGTTGTCCACGGCCCAGTCAATCTTCTTGGACGAGCCGCTCATCGCCGGGAGCGGCAAAAAGTCCAGCTGGTCCATCACAATCGAGGCAACAACGTTGCGAATGTGCGAGATGGTGGTCAGGTCAAAGTGCGTCTTGTCGTGGCGATCAGAGTAGACAAAGTCGCCGGCTAGTGCGTACACGTCCTGCGCCAAGTGAATCAGGCGCTCGTTGGTGCGAATCGCATCGAGCAACACACGGCCCTCGCGCTCTGCCGTCTCGAAGGTCGGGTGTTGTCGGTAGCGGTTGCCCATCATGCGGATGCGGGTCAGGGTTGCGCGAATGCGCTCGCGTGCGTACTGCACGTCGTTTGGGCGACGGTACATGTCAGGATCGCGCGTGAGCACGTCCAGCAGCGACTTGATGCTGTCGATCAAAACTTTGACATCCTCGTCCGAGGCAATGCGCTGCGACAGGCTCTCGATGGCCGCGGCAAACTGCTCAATCGAGCGGCCGCGCGCCAGGCACGCAAACACGTTCAGAAGGTCGGCGCGCACCTTGTGCAAGTGCTTGGACAGCTCGGTCTTGCGCTTTTCCATCGAGGGACCGGCTTCAACGCCCACGCCCGCCGACGCACCAAACGTGGTGGTAAGGCTGAACTTGGACTTGGCAAAGTCGTCCCAGACCTGCTCGGAGATCTGGAAGAAGGCGTCAATGCCACGGCGCATCTCGGGACGCTGCGCAATCATCTCCATGACCTCCATGACAGCCTGCACGACCTGCTCGTCCGACATGGTGGAGGAAAAGTGATGCGAGCGCTTGCTGCTTGCACCGCCTGGGGTCGACAAGGCGCGAATCGCCGCGCGGTCCTTGCCCTCCAGTCTCAGCTCGTCGCTCATGTCCGAGTCCTGAACTCCGCCAGCCATGCGTGAGGTGCTAGCTGGCTGATCGTCGGGCTCCTCGACGGTATACGCCCTCGCTTTGCCCTTGCCCCCCGAGACTTCCAGCGACGAGTTCTGTTGTTTTGTTTGTTTTTGTTGGAGAGGATTGTAGTTCAGTGAGCTCAACTTCCATAAACAAGCAAAAAAAAAAAAAAACAAACAAAACCAAAACAAAACCGGACAATGAACGTTTTTGGTTCTTTACCCAAGAGTCCATGTTCAAAGTGTCCAGGTCTTTCGCAGTCAGCGCCTCAATCACGGCCTTGGCCAAGGTGGTCACTCCGCGGCGGAAGTCTGCAGAGCGGAACAACAGGCCACCAAACACACGGAAGCTCTTGGACAGGGCGCGGAACTGGGCGCGCTGGCGCTTCATCTTTTCGCGGTCTTCCTGACCTACACCACGAGCAATCGCCTCGGCCTCTTCAGCTTCGCGTTCCAGATCGACCTCGCCTTCGACCTCGTTGCTGAAGCCCTTGATGCCGCCGACAGCATCCACCGATTCGCGGATGTGAGTGGTGAGCTTCTTGAGCTCCTGCTGCAAGTCGTGCGCGTCGAGGAGGCTCGTGGCTGTCGTGAGCAGGCGCTCCAAATCCGCGAGCATCTTGCGGCCAGACTTGGACTCGACCTCGCCACGGTGCGTCTCAATGGATGCATTCAACTTGGTTGCCGCAAACCGGACATCGTCCATCGAAGGAATCTTTCCCTTGGCAAGTTGCTGGACCACTTCAACCGAGACGTTCTTGCGTTGCGTATGCTGCGCCTGAGCCACTTGCATCAGCAGTTGTTCGTCAATCGCCATGGTTGAGGAGAGAGGAAATCAACAAAAAAAAAACCGGAGACAACGCAAAACTCTGTAGCACAACAAGAAACAAAGCAGTTGACGAAAGAACGTCAGTCCGACGTTCGCTTTTTGGAACGATAATGTGCACATTTCGATTCGAGACGGAGTTTGTCATCGAGGTGGCTGTTGTGACGGCGGCGGTTGGCGGGAAAAAGGCGAGAGAACGCCAACGCGTTCTTTGTGTTTTTGAGCGTTTTTTGGTGCTAAGCAAGTCTCAACCCTTCCAACAATGATCGCCCGAAATCGAGAAGTAATATCGTGAATATTGCTAACGTCAAAACACTTTGAGCGACAATTAGGGTGCTCCGAGGAGGGGGAGTGCAGGTTGGTCGCGGTGAGAAGAATCGCCGTGGCGCAAACACCAAATAAAGGCGTTTTGTTGAGTTTTCTCTTCTCCTCCTCCTCCTCCTCCGCCGGTATCTGAGCGTGCAGCCAGTTCCAGCCATCGACCCCACCAGTAAAATTACAGCAATCACAGCCACTTTGCACATTGCGGGGTTGCGAGGGGTGCCAGGACCTCCCTTCGGTACCGACACGGTGGTCACGCAGCCCGCATTTTTGGTGTTTTTGTTTGGTTGCACTTTTTTTTCGTTCGCTTTTGTTTTTTGTTTTCCGAATCGAGTGCACTGCCGCACCGTTTTATTCGGTGCTTCCTACTGATCGCCCACCTCCCCAAAGTTCATGTTCAGGTCGGAGCGAAAAGTTCTCGTGTCCAGCTGCGATAACTGCGCGTTGATTGAAGGGTCCAACCCCGTTTCCCGCGACTCGCGTCTCCAATAGAAGTGCATGCAAGCGCGATGCAAAAGCTGCGTGATGTGGTGATCGGCGTGCCTTTTCTAAATCTAGCGAAAGTCAGTCGACCAAAGGCAGAAAGAATAAAAGAGAAATGAACAAAGCCTAATCTGTGTCAGCGCCAAGAATTATTGGCGACTGTAGCTCAGAGGTCCTTCAAAAAAGACGCGCATGCAACAAAAAGAACACAATTGAGAAGCGTTGTCGTAGAAATAATCTGAAAAAGCAAAAGTTCACAGGAGGCGAATGTTGTTGGAAAAATGGACAATCTTGTTTCAAAATCTCAAACACGCTGTTACGACACACAAAAACGCATCCAGAAAAGCTGCTGGATTTGTCATAGGACATCACAGTCGTCTAGCGCAATCTTCAATTAATGCTTGGCGGGGGCAGCGGCGGGAGCGGCAGCAGCAGCAGCAGCGGGTTGCTCGTTAATCTCGGGCTTCATGGCGGGGAAGAGCAAAACTTCCTTGATGTTGTTCGAGTCGGTCAAGAACATGGTCAGACGGTCGAGACCCATGCCCCAGCCACCGGTCGGGGGCAGACCAAACTCGAGCGAGGTGCAGAACACCTCGTCAATAACTTGTGCTTCGTCGTCACCAGCAGCCTTATCCTGAAGGAGAAAAAAGCGTTTGCGAAACAACAAAATTAGCGATGTTGACCAGGGAACGAACATCGAGGGTTGAAAAACAAATCAACAACAAATCACAAACCTTGGCCTGGTCGTCGAACATCTTGCGCTGGTAAATGGGGTCGTTCAACTCAGTGTAGGCGTTGCAAACCTCCTTCTTGCTGACGAACAGCTCGAAGCGCTCAGTCAGACCGGGGATGGAGCGGTGCCTGTCAAGCGACAAAAGAAGGCAAGTTAGTCTCATAAGTCGAATCTACAGAACTTGTTGAAAAGAGGCAAAAAAAAAAAATCAATGGCAAACACGTACCACTTGGCAAGAGGACTCATGAGCTGCGGGTGATCGCAAATGAAGGTCGGGTTGATGCACTCAACCTCGAGGAAATCACCGACGAGCTTGTCAAGCAGACGAGCGCTGGTGCGCGGTGGCGTGCACTCGACGTTGTGCTTGATGCACAGCTCGCTGAGGAACTTGTTGGTCGCTGGCAGGCCAGAGAGGTACAGACAAACAAGCAGACACACGCACACAAAAAAGTCAGCACCGGAAGACCAACCAAACTAAACAAAACAAAACCAAAAATCGAAAACACGCACAGTCCGAAAGCAGTTGGTCTGCTGGTGGGAACTTGACGTTGAGCTTCTTCTCGAGATCGGCAATCATGCTGAAGCGGCGGAAGGGAGGGGTAAAGTCAATCTTGATGGCAGGCTCAGTGGGGCCTTGCGGGTGGTACTCGATGACGTATCCGCCAGTAATGTACTTGACCATGCCAGAGAGGAGGGTCTCGGTGATGGACATGAGGTCGTTGTAGTCGGCGTAGGCCATGTAGAACTCGCAAGTGGTGAACTCGGGGTTGTGGGTGAGATCGATGCCTTCGTTGCGGAACTGGCGGCCAATCTCGTACACGCGATCGAGACCACCGACGACAAGCTGCTTGAGGTAGAGCTCGGGGGCAATGCGCATGAACAGGTTCATGTTCAGGTCGTTGTGGTGGGTGATGAAGGGCTTGGCAGTGGCACCGCCGGCAATCATGTTCATCATGGGGGTCTCAACCTCGAGGAAGCCGAGCTGATCGAGGAAGCGGCGCAGGTAGTTGATAATCTTGTTGCGGACGACAAACTTGTTGCGGGTGGCGTCGTTGAGCATGAGGTCGAGGTATCGCTGGCGGTATCGGAGCTCCTGGTCCTTGAGGCCAAAGTGCAGGGTCGGCAATACTCGCAGGCAGGGCGACAGCAGGGTGAGCTCGACGGGGAAGATGCTCAACTCGCCACGCTTGGACTTGCCAGGGTGGCCACGAACGCCAATGATATCACCACGGCGGAAGCGGGCGTTAATCTTGCCAAAGTCGCCCTCCAGGGTGCGAGCATCAGCCATAACCTAAAGAAATGTTGCGAGATGATGCAACACGTGTCAGAAACATGGTTGTGTCAGGGCGTTTTCTGGTGAGAATGTGAACGAGCCAAGCAGCACACACACAAAAACCGGCAGACATGTCCACGCTGAAAATCGACTGCTTTGAAGCAGGAACCATTTCAGCAGGAGAGTCTGTTGTTTTTGCACACATACCTGAATCTTGACGCCCTCGCCGCGGAGGTCGTAGAAGATGAGCTTGGCGCCAGACTCACGCTTGGAGTAGATGCGACCAGCGACCGAGACGGTGACATCAGTGAGCGACGAGCCCTCAGCAAGTCCGCCGTACCTGCGCAATAACAGAGGAGAGAGTGAGTGAGAGAGAGTGAGAGTAAGTGAGTGAGCCACGTTAGCACAGTGAGAGGAGGAAAGAGACACACGAGGGTGGAATAGTCCACGGACTCAACAAATGGTAGCACGCAGCCACACGGATTAGTGAGCGCCGCGTATGATAATCTCCGCGCGTGTGTCCATTTTCCAATACCTCGGATTTCTTTTTTTTTTTCTTTTTTTTTTTTGGTTTTTGTTTTCTTTCCACTTGAATCCGCACTGTTCCGGTCCAGCCGTTCTGAAATCGCTCCACCTTGTTGCGATGTGAATGGTGCGACAGTTCGAATACAAGAGTGGCGACTTGCGACGCACTCGCAGAATGGGCAATGCATTGAAGCCCCTCCATTGAAGAAGCGCATGTGCGCGATCTCGCTTTTTTATTATTTTTTATTGTTGATCTTCCATTGTGTTTTGTCTCTGAGTTTGAATCGCTGTCTTCTGAGCGACTTTTGTGCCGAGTAACGTTGTCGTGAAGTGTGATTCAAACAAAAGCTTGGTCGAACGGGAGCGAAGAACGAGAGAGAGAGAGAGAGCGAGAAGGGACGTACTTTTCAATATACTCGGTCAGACCGGTCGAGACGGTGAACTTGTGTGGGTAGGCAGGGATGCCCTCCGCAGCGAGCTGCTGGACAGCCGCGCAACGGTTGTTAAAGTACGCGCGGGGATCGATTTCCTCGTCCGCAGCAGCAGCAGCAGCAGCCGGAGCAGCGGCAGCCGGAGCCTTCTCTTGCTTGGCGCCAGACATTGTGATTTCGTAGAATGGAAAAGATAGAGTGAAATTCTACAATGAATGTTATTCCCTGTTTTGAGTGAGAAGGATGTCAATGATCAAACATCTTTTATTTTGATAGTTTGCTTGCTCAGTTCTTTTTTTTTTTGTTTTTGTTTTTTTGTAGGTCTGATTGAATGAGCGATTCGGTGGAAGCGAGCCAGAGCTCGAGTCAGAGCCAGAGCGAGAGTCAGCCAGTCGCTGCTCCAGCTCCAGCCAGTCCTCCGGCCACCGCTGCCGCCGCCGTCACCGCAGCATCGCCTGCACCAGCACCAGCAGCAACGCCTTCTCCCACTCCCGCCACAGAATCCGCCGCCGCCGCCCCAGCCGCCCCAGCCGCCGAGCAGCAGCCTGCAGGTGAGATTCTCCCTTCGAAAGCCCTTTTCGATTGCGGCTCCTTCTCTGCGCTCCGCTCCGTTCGTCTGCGCTGCCACTCCAAAACGCGCCATGCAAAACAAACGGAAACAACCCGTCGTTCGAAACACAATCGTCTTTGTGTTGAAACGTCGAACGACTGAACGACTGAACTTTTTTTTTTTTTTTTTTTTTTTTCGTTTGTTTGCTTTGTTTCATCATTCAAAAAAGCAGCAAAATTTCCAGCGATCTTTTTTTTTTTTTTTCGAATTTTCGCTCGATTTTTTTGATTTTGATTTTGCTCACTTTTTTTGTGTGTGTGTTTTTGATTGAAATGCTTTGGTTTTGAAAACAACGAAAACGATGGGAAATTTAGGAACATCAGCGTCGAGCGAGCAGACAAAGAGCGCGACGGGTGGCGAAGTTACAACGACGACTGCCGCTGGTGACGCGACTGCCCAGGCAGCCAGCAGCCCGCAGCCGCAGCCGAGCGATGGCAACACATCTGGCGCTTCTTCTGCTACGAACGCGGCGCAGGACGGCGGCAAGAAGGACGCTGCCAAAGCGCCGCGGGAACGGCCGCCGCGCGAGCCAAAGCAAGCGCGAGCGCCAAAGGAGCCCAAGGACGCCAAGGACGCCAAGGATGCCAAGGACGGAGCAAAGGACGCCAAGGAGCCCAAGGACGGAGCAAAGGATTCAAAGGAGCCGAAAGACGGAGCAAAGGAGCCCCGAGCACCCAAAGAGCCCCGAGAACCTCGAGAGCCCCGAGAACCCAAGGCCGCAGCTGCACCCAAAGAGCCAAAGGATGCCAAGGATAAGGCGTCGTCGTCGCAACAAAAGCCCGCCGCCAAGGGAGCTAAAGACACCACAGAGGGCAAGCCGGCAGCAGCGAAAGACAGCAAATCTGGCGTTCCCGCACCGTCCGGTGGTTTGCAGCATGCCTCGTCGTCCTCCTCAAAGGACCGTGCTTCTGCTGCTGCTGCTGCTGCTGCTGCGACGACTGCATCTGCGCATGCATCCACCAACAGCACCTCGCATCACGACCGCTCGCATCGGTCTGGTGCGACCACCGCTCCCGCCACATCATCCGCCGCCGTCTCCTCACACACGTCACACACGGCTCCATCAGCGGCAATTCACGCCTCTCCACAGCTCCATCACAGCACGACCTCCCCGGCTTCTGTGCCGGTGAATGAGCTCCAGCAACACAGCGTGCTCCACTTGGTCTCGTCAGGGCGCTACAATGAGCGCAAGCGTCGCGTGCTTGTGGTGAACGACGTTCGGGGCAAGCTTTCCCTGCTCGTTCAGCTTGCACAGCACGAGCAGGCGGACATTGTGATCAACACTGGCAACTTTGGCTTTTACGACGACACGAGCTACTCGACCATGTTGTTCAAGGATTTGCAAAACCGCATCGTCAAGTCCACCCGCAACATCCAGACCAAGACCTTGACCAGCGAAATGAACGAGCCTGATCTGCGCAAGTACGGCCGCACCAACCACAGCTTGAGCGAGCTGCCCCTCTATCTTCGCGGCGAGCGCACTCTCCATGTGCCCATTTACACCATCTGGGGCCAGCACGAGGATGTGCGTGTGCTTGAAAAGTTCCGCTCTGGCGATTACGCCGTCAAGAACCTGCACGTGCTGGACGAACGAAACTCCTTTCGCATTGACAATCTGCGCCTGTTCGGCTTGGGCGGCGACCTTACTTACAGCAAGTTGCTCGACTCGGGCACGACATCCTCCATTGCTGGCGACAACTGCCGAGCATGGACGACCTTTCTTCAGATCGCCGAGCTGCTGGCCTTGGCTCGTCAGACCCAGGATCCAGCGATTGTGCGTCCAGCAGCCACCCACTCTGGTGCGTCCCATTCCGCTGCCCCGCGAGACCCGATCCCGGTCACCAGGATTTTGGTGAGCCACGTTGGCTCTGGTGCCGATGCTTTGATTACGCGCATTGCTTCCGAAATCCATGTGAGTTTTGTGGCCATTTTTTTTTGTTGTTGCTGTTGTTGTTGTTGTTGTTGTTGTTGTTGCTGTTGTTGTTGTTGTTCTTTTTGCGGCAAGATTGTGGGCTCACGGCTGCGATTGATGTGGCGGGATTTGTCCAACTGTAATAGGCCGACTACACGATCAGCGGCAGCGTCCTCAGCACCTCCTGCTTGTCGTACACAAACTCGCAGGTCATGTCCCAAGAGCTGTACCATGCTCGACTGGCAACTTGCACCGAGGCCCTTCAGACCATCTGGAACCAGGTGCACGAGACTCTCCGTCAAGGCTGCACACCTGAAGAACTCGGTACGTGTTGTCGTTTGCTCGATTTGCAGATGTTGTGTCAACAATGCAAAATGTCCTGACAAACCGTGTACTGTTGAATTCTTTGTTGTGTTTTTGGCTGCTGTGGCGTTGGTTTTAGCTCTTATTTCGTCGGTGATGACCATGGTGCGCCAACCCGTGACTGACGCCAGTTGGTCCTCCACTGTTCACCACATTCTGCCCAGCTGGGAGACTGGATATGCCGTCCTTGCTGTTGACCAGAAGGGGCGCATTGCTTCTGAGATGTACTCTGAAGGTAAGCCAGTTTATCTGACGAATGCATGGTTTCCGTCGAAAGCAGAAAAGCTCACCGACACATGCTTTTGTTGTTGTTTTTTCAAGGTGTCGACCGCATCAAGCGTCGTGCTGCACCGGAGACCGCCAAGCACCACACACGCGCGAGCTCGTCCATTGTCACCAACCTTCCTGGCCGCACGAATGGCGAAACTCGCGAGCGTCGGGAACCGCGCACTGCACCGACTTCCACCAGCGCTGGGCACGCGCACGCTGCTCCCTCTGGTGCTGCCAGCAGCGGCAAAGACTCCGCACTTCAGTTCCCCTTTACTGCGTTCATGAAGCCCGTTCCTTCCACCACCACGGAGGAGCAGATTCGCGATTTCTTTGCTGGTTTGCCGGTACGACGTGCATTGTTATTGTCTTTTTTGCTTGTTTCTGTTGCCTTTTGAAGAAGGACTCAACACTGAGCATTTTTGATTTGTTCGTTTTACGTGCAGATCACAAGCGTCTACCTTGTCAATGCCAGGGGCTTTGCTCACGTCGATTTCAATGATGCTGACGCGTTGCTTGCTGCCATCAAATTGACAAACACGGTAGGAGATTGTTCTTGAGTGATTTTCTCATTTTCGTTTGGTGCTGCCGTCACTTATTTTCCACACTCGTTGTTCTTGGGTTTTTTTCTCCTTCTCCTTGACAGAAATTCCTCGGCGGAGAGGAAGTGTCCATCGAGATTTCGCGTCCCCATTGTACGTTTTCAAGTTGAACTTTGACCTGTTTCCCCCCCCCTCTCCTCTTTTGAAACACCCGACTCATTTTTTTCACTTGTTTCACTTTTGTTCTCCTTGTCACAGCTACGAAGCCTGGAATCCGCCCAGCGTTGGGAGGCAGCAGCTCTTCTACCGGTTCCAGCCAGAATTCGTCCTCGTACAACGGAAGCACGCCCTTATTTTCGCAGAGAGGCAGCCGCTCCGAGTACAGCGGCGAGCGCAAGCCGCGTGAAGGCCAAACGTCGGCTGCTGGCCACAAGGATTCCCGTCCCTCCAAGTAACACCTGTTACCCCAAACAAATCTCCCTTTCGTTTCGATTTCTCTTCCCGCCTCTTTCTCGCCCCTTCTTTTTTTTTTTTTGGTTCACAGCTGCCATTTCTGAAACAGTGTTTTGCTTGTAGAACGTGTCCCCTGTTTCTCCATCACAATTACAAAAAGGGCAAACAAATCAGACTCTATTCACACTTTTTCATTCTCACACGTTTGCAAGAACAACAAGAGCAGCACTAGCAACAACCAGCTCAAGCTGCCCTGCAAAAAAACAAACCATGCTCCTACATTCAAGGACCAAGAACTCGAGCTGTTCAAATCAGAGTGACATCCTCGCCTTGCACAAGGCGGCTCTTCATGCGCCAAATGTCCTGAATCTTAATGTGCTCGTCAGTGCGCAGCTTGGCCTTGGCCATTTCCTCAATCTCGCGGGCAAGCTCCTCGCGGGGGCCGCCCGTGACATCAATGTACGAGCACTCGCCGGCAGAGGCATAGTGGCCGCTGATGGCCTTGCGGTAGCCCGAGGTCTTGTTGGCGCCGGAGCCGTGGATGAGAATCGGGTGGAAGAAGACCGTGTCGCCAGGTTCCATCTCGAGGTAGACAAGGTCGCCCTTCTCCTGCTGCGCCGACTTGATGCCGTGGTAGGCCTTGTTCACGCCGCCCTCCCACTCCGGGTAGCCGTGCTCGAGAAGCTCGCCCTTGTGGGTGCCCGGGAGAACGACGAGGCAGCCGTTGGCGCGCGTGACTGGCTCCATCGCAGTCCAGGAGCAGCAGATGCGGTTGGCAGGCTCCATCGGGAAGTAGACGAGGTCCTGGTGGAGCGGATGGCGGCCCGTGGGGCCCACATCCGGGGGCTTGTTGATCAGCATCGTGTGGATGGTGCGAATGTTGGGCCCAGTGAAGCACTGCACGTACTTGAGCACCTCGGGCAGCTGGCAGTAGCGGAAGAGGTCGGGATCGTCCTGGAAGTCCTGCACCTTGGTGACGGCGCGCTCGCCCTTCAGGCCCTTTTGCTTGGCCAGCGTCACGTCGCGCATGACGGTGGTGGTCGAGAAGCGTTCCTTCTCGCCGTTGCAGAGCTGCGGAAAATTTGGAAAGGCGACAAACACAGAGTGAGAGGTCGCGAATTTGGATTTCCAAATGGTGACGGGTGGATGTTTACCGCAACAAAGTGATCCTTGATTTCATTGAGGACGCTGGGATCGATGAGTTTCTTGACCAGCAGGAACCTGTGAGCAATAATTCGTACCAGAATCTGAGCTGCCTGTATTTCCGAATTCTGGATGAAAAATGCGAGAGATTTCCCCCTCTCCATTGAAGCCTGTTGCTGTGGAGGTGCAAAAAAACAATCTCTGTTGTTGATGTTTACCCATTGTCTTCGTAGAACCGGCGTTGCTCGCGGGTGAGAATGGTCGACGCAATGTCATGAGTGTACTTGAGCTTGTTGCCCTTGGCTGGCTGCTGCGTCGTGAGCGCAGCGGCAGCGCAGTCAGCGGTTCCGAACGACGCATGTCTAAGGCCAACAAACCAACAGGAAGTTCGAGGTCAGTGGTCGGAAGGTCGGAGCAGGAAGACGGAAGAAGGAAGCGGGGAAGGAAGCGGAAGAGGAGGAGCATCAAAAGCGGAAGTGGGCGCTGCGCCACCCCGCTCCCGCCGCCGCCGCCGCCACGATGCGCCGCAGAATCGCGTTGGTGAAGGTGCGACATGTGTTGACATGTGCTGCGCAATACACGCTGAGGGGGGAAAAGCAACACAAACACGAATCCAATGGTAATAAATAAAAATAATCATAAATTGCGAAGATAAATAAACGCCGGCTCAAATTTTGTACTGTTTTTGCGTTGAACGACGAGCGGAGCGGAGCGGAGCGGAGATGGAAGGGGGGAGAAATACAATGTGTTGGCAAAGAACAACAAGGTAAAATAATAAGGAGGGGAGGGCGTTACTGCGGCGCGAGGTGTCCGAGAGTGACTGCCAGACGAGCAGCAGCGGACGAGGAGGACGAAGAAGACGAAAAAGACATTGAAGGAGGGGAAAAAGACTGAAAATACAACAAAAAATCGCCAACAACTTCCGCCTTCTTCCGCCTCGCGTCCAAACCGGCGAGAGTGGCGATATTGCGAATCAAGGGCAAGTGCTCGCTCTGACGCGGCATCAGATGTGACGTGGAATTTGGCGAGCAAGCCGAGCGTGGCGTCTTGTGTTTTTGATTGTGAAAGATAAAAACACACAAGCTTCGTTTCGTTTGATCTGAGTGCGCCTGTCGGCTTTTGCTGAAACCCTGAGAACTGCAACACAGTTCCTCCCAATCATCACCAAGTTCTTCGTGCAGAGTTCGAGAACATCGCGTAAAGTGCAATAGCGACTCTTCAGACGCCACCACATTGATGCAAATAGGTTACAACCAACTAACTCACAAGATGGCGAACGAGTGATGGGATTAAATTGAAGTACAAACACGCAGGGCTAAAAGGCAACCAGGCAGCAATCAAGCAACCCGGATGAAGCCCCCCACGAACCAAAAAAACAACAAGAAGAAAACAAATCGATCAAAACGCAAGCAAAATGTACAAGCAGTCCAAAAACCCTTGTCCTTTGTTCACACTGACGGAAAGCCTAATGGGACACAGATAGGCTGACAACGCGAAGGGGGGGGGGGAACAGAAAACAAGAGCACGTCCTTGCCTAGAAAACCACGAGGATTGGTTTTTGTTTTTAGCAAGACAGGTAGAGGAGCTTGTTGGGGGAGCCAGTGCCCGAGTTGGTGACCACGTCGAGGGTGGTGGTGGCAAGGAGCTCGGCCTCAACCTGGGCGGGGGTCCAGGCGAGGTTGGCAGAGAGGATGGCAGCGGCAACACCGGCGACGGCGGGGGAGGCCATCGAGGTGCCCGAGATGGTGTTGGTGGCGGTGGTCGAGCCAATCCAGGTGGAGGTAATGTCCTGGCCGGGGGCAAAGACATCGACGCAGGTGCCAAAGTTGGAGAAGGAGGCGCGGGCATCCTTGATGGTGGTGGCGCCAGTGGTGGTGGCAAGAGGGGCGGAGGCGGGCGAGACGTTGCAGGCGTTCTGGTTCTCGTTACCGGCGGCGACGGCGGCAAAGACGCCAGCCTTGACGAGGTTGTCCATGGCAGTGTTCATGGCGGTGGACTTGGAGCCGCCGAGCGAGAGGTTGGCAACGGAGGGCTTCTTGTTGGCCTTGGCCTGAGCGGCAACCCAGTCAACGCCAGCAATGACGCCAGCAGTGGAGCCAGA